CTTTCTTTCTTTCTTTCTTTCTTTCTTTCTTTCTTTCTTTCTTTCTTCTTTCTTTCTTTCTTTCTTTCTTTCTTTCTTTCTTTCTTTCTTTCTTTCTTTCTTTCTTTCTTTCTCTTTCTTTCTTTCCTTCTTTCATCTTTCTTTCTTTCTTTCTTTCTTTTTTCTTTCTTTCTTTCTTTCTTTCTTCTTTCTTTCTTTCTTTTCTTTCCTTTTCTTTTCTTTTTTTGTCTAAATGATTTTGTTAGGGCTTTCAATACTATGTTAACTGAGTGATGAGAGTGGAATTCTTTGTCTTGTTCTTGATCTTAGTGGAAAAGTTTTCAGCTTTTCACCCTTGAGTATGATTTTAGCTGTAAACTTTTCATATATGGTCTATGTTCCCTCTATACCCAGATGGTTTAGAGTTTTTATCATACATGCATATCGAATCTTGTCAAGTGTTCTTTCTGCATCAATTGTAACAATCATATGATTTTTATCTTTTATTTTTTAAGATGGTGTATCCTGATGTTTGAGGTGCAGATGTGCAAACATCCTTGCATCCCTGGAATACATCACACTTGATTGTGTTGTGTGATTTTCCCGATGTATTGTTGAATTCAATTTGCTTATAATTTGTTGAGGATTTTGGCATCTATGTTCTTGAGGGATATTGGCCTTTCCTTTTCTTTTTTTTTTTCCATCTCCCGAACCCCATGCCCGCTAGAACCCTCAGTTTGTTATTCAGGGTCCATTATCTCTCATGGTTCGTCCCCCCTCCGACTTACTCCCCTTCATTCTCCCCCTCCTGCTATCTTTACTTCTTTATTTTTTCTTAACATATATTGCATTATTTCTTTCCGAAGTACAGATCTGTGATTCAACAGTCTTGTACAATTCACAGCGCTCACCATAGCACATACCCTCCCAATGTCTATCACCCAGCCACCTCATCCCTCCCACACACTCACCACTCCAGGAACACTCAGGTTGTTTTCTGAGATTAAGAATTCCTCATATCACTGAGGTCACATGATACATGTCTATCCCTGATTGACTTATTTCACTCAGCATAACACCCTCCCATTCCATCCACGTCCTTGTAATTGGCAAGAGCTCATTCCTTTTGATGGCTACATAATATTCCATTGTGTATATATACCATTGCTTCTTTATCCATTCTTGTGTTGATGGACATCTTGGCTCTTTCCACAGTTTGGGTATTGTGGATATTGCTGCTATAAACATCGGGGTGCACGTACCCCTTCGGATCCCTACTTTTGT